GAACCGAGTTTCTGGACTCACACTCCTCTTAATTTCCCTCCCTGATGAATTCCCCGGATGAAGCACTTCTTTTTTTTTGGATCAGGCACCCTCTGGCATTCGTGCAAAGTTGTGGAACCTCCATGGATGGTTTCTAAACACAGCGCGGAGAACTTAGATGACCTATCAGTTGATGGTTAACACTGTCACTCAGGCTAGAGCACCCTTTATAGGCTAGCCTATGTCCTGTAGTGTAGTCTATTTGTTGTGTGGAGCCACTCTCTCTGAGAAGAACCCTGGACATGCCAGATTAGTGTTGTGTTTGAGTTTTGTTGAGGAAGAGGCAGACCCAGCTCTTCAAATGTCCTTGCACTGCGCTTAATGTGACACGTAGACCATACCTCTCTAAGCAGCTTTTATCTGTTATGATCTGCAGAAGGGAAGTACCGTATTAAAACAGAGGTTGGTCAATTTTATAGGTTATGCTATCGTCCTTGCTTTGTGTGCCGAGGCACACTGTGTCCCCCAGGAGAGAGAGCATACTTAAAAGAGCGGTGCCTCCTTTTTGGCGTGAGTACATGGCACCTTTTAACAGATTATGTAGACCTGCAGGCTGGGTGACACCTAACACACTTACGAGATTTTATAATCCCCGAATGGAGCCAGTTTCCTCCCGATTACTGGGTAACTCTGGTCAATCAGAATGATATTAGTCTCGGTGTCAAAAAGGCTTGCTGCGCCATGCTCCTTAACCCGAAAATACGTGCGGTTTCTCTATTCTGCTACTAAGTTCCGCACTTTGTGAACCCTAAAGAATTTCTTCTAGGCCCCCAGCACCCAACTCAGCAAAAGAGCCAGGTGCCTGGCTCAGTATGATGTCTGGTATGCCCACTGTTGGTCTAATCACATGCTGAGGTTCGGTGCCAGCTATGTGCGGTCCCCAATGATGATCCCATAGGCTTATTTCAGCCATGAAGTGTTCCCCCTGACAGGCAGACCTGTGTCTTCCCTACCTGCTAACCAGCCTATCATGTGTAGCTCTTCCCTCCATAGGGCTAGTCCATATGTTCTTATTGTTATCAAGTCTCCCCTCTTGGGAAGCAGGTGGCCTCCGCAGCTTCCTCCCTTGCCTGTGCGCTCACGCTATGATTGGCAAACTTCACATCAGGAGCGTGACGGGCTAAGTTGCTGTGGCATTTTCCATACAGTCTCTAATAGTCTGTTACCAGACACACGTTGAAGTTTCAATGAAGGGGAACATTCGGTTTACGTGGAACAGAGACGTGTGTCTCCACTGTCACAGCACCCGAGTCTCTACCTGTTAGCTGAGTGATCAGCTCTTCATCAGGTTAAAATTCTAATGCTCACTTCTCAGCCACCAGCTGGTAAATTCCAATAATGTCTAATCACTGACAGCTTTGGAACTGAGCTTCGCCAATTCATTTGACATTTATTGGCCTGTTTTCTTACTCTTCAGAGTGATTGGTTATCTAGCATACTCCCATAGTTTGTTACCAGACAACGTCTCCGATCCCTATTCGGGAAATGTGGGTTAAAGACGTAACCAGGGTCCTCATGTATCAACTCTGCATATGCACATAAAATTCGTGTACGCTAGATTTCACGCTCACTTTTGCATTTACTAACGATGAAATGAACGTGAGAATGTGCGTCTGTTTTATTTCCAATGGCGACTCCTAGAGGCAATCATGTTAAATTGCGTACTACAAAATATCTTTGAGGCGTGCATTGGCAGCTGTATGAGACGAGATCATCCGCATGTCTAGCAGGTATATAAGGTTTCCATACCATGCAGTTGACCAGCCAAACATAAAAGTGCAACTTGCAGCGATCACCGGTTTTCCCAATCTAATCAGAGCGATTACTGCACGCACATTGCTATAAAAGCGCCATCTGAAGATGAATTTGCATATGCTACATGAATCAGAAACATTTCCATTCAATACATGTGCAACTAATATGTGATGCTCAAATGTGCTTAACATAATACACACACTTATTAATGATTCCTACTTGTCTTCCTCGTGATGAAGAGTAGGCAAAATCTGATATGTAATGGGGAAAAAAGAAAAATAAGTTCATCAGACGTTGGATTCGAACCGGATTCATGAATGATAGCGTCAAAATATGTTGCCATGCGTTTTAAGAGCTACGCCACTCGTGCTGCTGACAACTGCTCAACTATCACTTAATTACCTCATTCCAACGAGGTGTTCAACGAGACCCCACAACCAGCATCAGATGTCCCTCTTAATTTCTTTCTTTTGTTATTAATTCCGGAGGACAAACTTGCAAATAACACAGTTTTTATCCGTCTACCTTCAAAGTTTCTCCTTTTGCTTGCATTTGCCATTGCTTCTTTGTTTGGTTTGCCAAAGTGAGTCATTAGCATATTCATACGGGGGAGGAGGCTTCAACCTGTTTTCCTCCAGTCCCGTTCTCCTGTTTCCTTGAATGGCCTTTCTTAGATAGGTCAATTTCACTAGTAATTTAGAGTAACTCTGCTAACCTGCACTCACAAAGCAAAGCATCGCTTTCTCTGCAGGGGATTAGCTCAAATAGCTCTAACAAATGCTTGATCTTTGGTGAATTAGACTTTCTGCTAAATTTTTCCTGATGCCCAGTTTGGATCTTATGTTTATCTCTGAATCATGGACTAAGGTTGGGGATTTAACACCTTTTTCATAATTGGTTCTGGATGACTAATTTTTTTAAATTCCCCCTGCCCAAATAGGAATGGTGGTGTAGTAGTCACTATTTTAATTGACTTTCTTTAGACAATTGCTAGTCTATTTCAGTAGATGCATTTGCAAGCTTTAAAGTCTAGCTGTTGCATCTCGACTGTAACTTTACTGCCCCCCCACTCAGCAAAGGACTTCATACAGCAATTCACATTGTTTATTAGCAATATTGCTGTCAGGCAAACCATTATCAAAAGAATTTCTTAACTTTATTGACTCTTTTAGTCTGGTCCAATGGATAAAAGACTCTACCCATGTAATGGGCCATACCTTAGATTTTGTACTCTCTCATGGGTTTGCTCTTTATGATAATGAGTTTTCTGATTTCCTGCTCTATGGTCATAAGCTGATTCTCTTGTGCATGTCTCTTTCTACTCTTCTTCAATTTACTAATGACAGTGTAGTACCCTCTATATTATTTGCATGTGTTTGTCCTGGATGCTGACCAACATAATTAATTTTGAATTAGGAATAATATTGGCAATCTGTTTTGCTAAAAATATTAATACATCAATATCTGAAGTGGACAAGTGGTAATAATCTCATTTAAATATCTGTTCATGTCACGAAACATGTATTGTATATGTAATTATCATTTTATAACACAAAATAAACGTTCTCCCTTTTTCTTTACTTTTTAGTTAAATTTATAAATATACTTATAGTATATGTTTGACTTCTGCATTAAATGTTGTTTCTGTTATTATGCTACTACTAAATTATTTAGTTTTTTTATTGCTTATTCTATTTTGGCACAATTTGTAAACTGAAATTGAGTAGTTTTACTATTGCCAACTACAGTTGAAGTCAGAATTATTAGCCCCCTTTGAATTTTTCTTTTTAAAATATTTCCCAAATGATGTTTAACAAAGCAAGGAAATATTCACAGTATGTCTGATAATATTTCTTTCTTCTGGAAAAAGTCTTATTTATTTTATTAATTAATGTTATTAATTTAATTTATTAATTTAACTTATTAATTTTAAGGTCAAAATTATTAGCTCCTTTAAGCTATATACTTTTTAGATAGTCTACAAAACAAACCACCGTTATACAATAACTTGCCTAATTACCCTAACCTGCCTAGTTAACCTAATTCACCTAGTTAAGCCTTTAAAATGTCATTTAAGCTGTACAGAGGTGTCTTGAAAAATATGTTGTAAAATATTATTGACTGTGGGCGACTCGGTGCGACTCGGGCGACTGCGCAGTGGGTAGCACGTTCGCCTCAGGGCAAGAAATTCGCTGGTTCAAGCCTCAGCTGGGTCAGTTGGTGTTTCTGTGTTGAGTTTGCATGTTCTCCTCATCCTTGTGTGGATTTTTTTCGGGTGCTCTGATTTTCCCCACAAGTCCAAAGAAATGTGGTACAGGTAAATTGGGTAGGTTAAAATTGACCGCAATGTATGTGTATGTGTATGAGTGTGTATGGATGTTTCCCAGTGATGGGTTGTGGCTGGAAGGGCATCTGCTACGTAAAACATATGCTGGATAAGTTGGCAGTTCATTCCACTGTGGTGACTCCAGATTAATAAAGGGACTAAGCTGAAAAGAAAATGAATGAATAAATAAATTATTTACTGTCATTATAACAAAGATAAAATAAATCTGTTATTAGAAATTAGCTATTAAAACTGTTATGTTTAGAAATGTGTTGAAAAAAAATCATCTCTCTGTTAAATACAAATTGGGAAAAAACAAATAATTCAGGCAGGCCTAACAATTCAGGGAGGCTAATAATTCAGAGAGGCTAATAATTCCATGTCAAAAATATTCAATAATTCAACTTCTATGTCAAACATATTCTACCTGCTTTCCTCTTATAAGTTGTATGTCTGATATGATTATTACAAAAAATAATAATTTAGTTGAGCACTAATGACTTTGTGTTGACTTAAAGCTAAAGTTTGAGGCCTTAATTAACAACGTTGATCTAAAGTTTGATGACTTGAAGCTGGATTTTGATGACTCTGGACTTGAGTTGGACTTGCCTGTTAGTCTAGCCTGATTTGAGACTTATATGAAAATAGTCAAGACTTGCTTGTGACTTGCAAAACAACCACTTGGTCCCACCTCTGATGATTAGCTCAAATCGTCAGTCAAACTATTAAAGTAAAAGCTTGTTCGTCTTCTAGGTGATGGATTTAGGTTCTAATGTAAAACAGAAATTAAAAGTTGCACATTCAAAACGCTGATGAAGTTGTCCTCACTGTGTGATGTGTTGAGGACAGTGAAGATATGATTTTAATTTGTGACGAATAAAAGGGAATATCACACAGGCATGTGTAGTTTTAAATTATTCATATGTCTTTTGAACTTTATTGTATTTTTCCATAAGATAGTGGGAAATATTTTCAGAACACAATATTTAGTGTTGTATAGAAATTGTTTTATTGAAACACTAGTACCAAGAATCCATGATACGCCTCATGCTCATGAACCTCATGCCACCATAATTGCTGAAGTTCCTGTACTGTCCAGGACCGAAGTGCCACATCCTGCCTCTGTAGTGGGGCTGGTCATAAAAGAGCCAGTGGCCGTCCATCACATGACAGGACTGGCAGTGAGACATGCGGTAACGGTCCATGATGTTGTCACAGTCATCCATCATCTCGTACATCTGACCTCCGAAGTTCTCCCTCTCGTAGATCCTCATTCTGTAGGATCCCCTGTACTGAAGTGCAACATGAGTCTGTTACTTTCAAGTTTATCAGACAACAACATTTTAACAGTCAAAAAAAAGTATTATCTTATAAATCCTCAAAATTTAAATTACCATGGGGATCATACGGCAGGACCTGATGCAGTTGCTCATTCCAAACATAGACATGTAATCAGCATACTCTCCCTTCCTGAAGAAATATCCACTGCCCATGTAGTTGGGCTGATCGTACATCATCCAGCAGCCACTGTCCACTCTGCAAGAGTGACAGCGGCTCATGTAAGAGTGCATGTCACCACAGTCGCCCATACACTCATAAGAGCGACCCTGAAAATTCCTGTCCTCAAAGAAGGTGACCTAAAAAGATCAAGTATAAGGTTTTTGTTATGAAAAGTTAAAAAACTAAAATAATTATTTTAAAAGTTTCACTGTATAGAATGGGTGCTAGAATGAGGTTTACCTTCATGTTTGCGTTGTCTGATCCTCAGTGGTTCCACAAAGGAGAAGCTGAAGCTGATTCTGCCTGTTGACTGACTGCTGTCACCTGCCTTTTTATACAAGCCCAAGACTAAAGACTACACAGTCCCTATTGTTACTCAGTTTCTGACTATGCAAGTTGTCATAGAGATTTTTCTAGCTAAAGAACTACTGGTTATGTAGTTCTTAGTTCTAAGATTCATCTCTTTCCTTTCTTGTTTGTTTTTCTATGCATTTCTAAGATTCTGTATTGGTCACATGTAGTGTACTGGTTAAATACAAGTCTTCCACTGATGATTCATCTTTTATTTATGGTTTTCATTCTGTAAATTCATCACACAACAAAGCACTATGAACCTCAATAAGAACTAGAGAAAATATAACAAATTTATTTTGAAAGTCAAAATACCAAACATTCAACAAAATAAGCACACAAAGCAATATCTCAAGCCAAATCATATAAATTTATACAAATCATTGTTACATTGTTCTCTATAAAACCAGGAGCTAAACGCACAAAAGGAATCCATTAATTATGATTATTTTTATAAATAATTTTCTTATCATTGCCTCCTGTGCCCTTAAATGGTCTTCCTTGCATCGGCCGCTGTCACTAGTGAGAAAGAGTAACTGGTAACCTGCGCTCGCTAAACATGGCTCTAATAAATGCTTAATCTTTGGTGAATAAGACTTTCTGCTAAACTTCTTCATTACGCACAGTTTAGATCTTATGTTTGAATCATGGACTAAGGTTGGTGATTTAACTCCCTTCTCAGAATTGGTTCCGGATGACTGTATATTTTTTTAATTTCCCCTCCCCAAATAAGTATGGTGATGTCGTAGTGACTATTTTGCTTGACTCTTTTTTTAGACCGTTGCTGGTCTGTTTTAATAGATGCATTTATTTGCTTTATAGTCTTGACTGCATGAGTCCTGTTTTAGGCCCCATTTACACTAGTGCGTTTTAGTTTTAAAACAGCGTTTTAAAATGAAAATGATCCGCGTCCACACTAACGTTTCACCCGGCGTTTCGGAACAGCTCTCCGTCCACACCAAAACGCTGAAAATGCACATCACGTGAACTCACACACACTCTCGAGCAAGCGCTGCAGCCTATCTACCCAGATGAGAGCTCTGCTCGTCGGACTGCTCATCAAGCATCTCCCGCTGGATCTAATCTCACTATATTTATTAAACGTGATATTTTATTCATCTTGTTGTCGATATCTAACGATATATTTCCCGACTTTGGTCATTGGAATCTATTACTTGTTTTCAGGTAACGTGTTTTGGCTAAGATAGGTTAATAATTAATGTAACCACGTAGCCTACATTCTGTATATTGACTGATCGATTGCCTTTATTTCCTATAATTATATAATTATATGTTATACTTTTATAATGCCCATTATCGATTATTAAAAGGGATATTCAGCAAAAGAGAGGGTATGTTTCGTATTTTCACTGAAATTGAAAGGAGGCAGTTGTTATAGGCTCCGTTTTGTTATAAATATCCACAGTGAAGATGATGCTCATATGTGCAGCACGACGCCTCAACATTTTTGCTGTCTGTTAAGTTGCTAATATCAAAATGAAAATAGGCAGTTCCTTAAATCATGTTTTCATTTTATTGTTGAAAAAGTGAAACAACGTAGCCAGGGTGATGTGAATGAAGTTATAAAGTACACTGTTCCCTTTGAAGATTTACTCGTGTCCTCGGTAGTCTGTTTTCCATATCAATCTGAGGAGGGGGAGACTGCAGCCTTGATCAAACTTGCGAAGTCTGAACTTACAAGAAGAGGATGCAGGGCTGAACTGTGTGTAACGTTACGCTACTTAATATTGAGGAAAAGCCCCAATCAGATAGGCGATTGTTGGCAGCCCCGTCTCCGTTTTCAGATGTCTCTGTTTTCCCCCATCCACACTGAGACGGAGCAGCAGCGTTTTAGAATGAAAATGGCCTCTCCAGCGTAGTGTGGACGGATGGCGTAACCGTAGCAAAACTTATGCGTTTTAAAATGAGAGGCTGACTAACCTCTCAGTCACCTAAATTCTGCCTGGCAGAGTGTTTTAGATGTTACTCTCTCACTCAAGCCCCATAAGAAAAAAACGATTAAAAATTGTTAAAAATCACTCTACACCCAAAACAAATATTTTCAGTTATACATTGTTGTTAATACTCCTGTTAAAACCATCCCTGTTGCTTCAAATGCTTTTTGTGAAAGATTTTAGAGAGATTTGCAACTTTTAGTTACTGAATAGCTCAGGCAAATATGTTTTAATATTTAATAATCCATATTGTTTGCAAATATTTGAGAAATGTGGTGAAATTACAGAGGGCCTCTTTGTAATCCTTCTTCACTTGAATTTATTTTACCTGGATAATTTTAACATTCATGTGGACAATAATGATTCTACTTTGAATTTTTTTTTTCACAAATGATTTCAAATAATGAAAGTAATCTTCACAAACATACTATGTTCATACTATATACAAAGTTGTCATGGTTATAGCTCTTCCAATGGACCAGTTTCTAAACACCTTTGTAATAGATCTCTGGATAACTGAAATTCTAAAATGTCCACAATGACAGTGGCCAAGTCACACATATTTTCTGTTTGTGGCATCTCACACTTTTCTGACTCCTAATTCTCAAATTTTCCTTCCTGATCTGGTTTTCTATGCAAAAAGGTCTCTCTAATGAAAGCCACTACTTCCATTATTGACCACATCTCCACTCTGGTGTTTAGCTCAGCTGTTTAAATCTTGCTTTTTAGTCTAGGGGTAGTTGTCCTAAACATAATTAACAATTCCTTATGTGGTGGAATGTTTCCTGCAGCACTTACAATTGCTGCCAATACACTTGTCCTCAAAAAAAAAAAAAAAAAAAAAAAAAACTGATGTTAGTAATCTCATTAAGTTTGGGACCATCTCAAATTTACCCTTCCTAGCCAAAGTCTTATTGTGAGCTTATTGTGGCTTCTCAGTTGCATACTTATCTTATTGATAACAACATTTTAAACTCCTTTAGTCTGGTTTTCATAAACCACATAGCACTAAAACAGCTTTAGTTAAGGTTACTATTTATCTGTTGATGGCTGGTAGTTTTTCAATTCTAGATCTTTTAGATTTGCAGAATTTGACACAATTGATCTTGCTCTTTTACTCTTTTTCTCTTTTGGTGATACTGACAATGTTTTGACCTGGTTCAAATCTTACTTTTTAGACAGTTTATCTCTCTAGAGTAGGGGTGTCCATACTCGGTCCTGGAGGGACAGGGTCCTGGAGAGTTTAACTCCCACCTTAATCAAACCTACCTGGGGCCTCATGTACGAAGACTTGCTTTAAAATCATACTAAAACATTGCGTACACGGAATCCCACGCATATTCTCTTTGTACATCCAAATTAACGTGAAACCAAATGCACATGCATAAGCGCAAAACCCCTCCCTGCCTCCTCCCCATATGAATATGCTAATGATTCTACCTTGGCAAAAGCAAACGAAAAAGCAATGGCAAAAGCAAGCAAAAAGAGAAACTTTGAACAGAATGTACATTGGAGGTGCTCCTATCGGAGGTAGACTGTAGAAAAACGGTGTCATTTGCAAGTTTGTAATTGGAATGAGCTAGTTCAGTGATTTCTGCCTGTTTGATTGGCAGAGACAACAAAGCTAAAGATGGAGTACATCAGCAGCACGAGTGGTATAGCTCGTAAATTGAATGGCAACATGTTTTGACGCTGTCGTTCATGAACCCGGATCGAATCCAGTGTCTGATGAACACATTCTTCTTTTTTCCCCACTACATAGTCTATCAGATTTTGCCTTCTCTCTACATCATGAGGAACACAATTATCATATTATTTGCACATTTATTGAATGGAAATGTTTCTGATCCACGTATACAAATTTGTCTTCAGATGGCGCCTTTATAGCAATGTGCGTGCAGTCGATCTCTCCGATTACATCGGGAAAACCGGCGATTGCTGCAAATTGGGCTTTAATGTTTGGCTGGTCAACTGCATGGTATGGAAACCTTATATACCTGCTAGACATGCAAATGATTTCGTCCCATACAGCTGCCATTGCACGGCTCAAAGATACTTTGTATTGTGTAATTTAACACAATTGCCTCTAGGAGTTGCCAAACACACACAAGAAATGCATGTACGCCAGGCATGAAGTTAGTGTGGAACAATGCACATTTTCACGTTCATTTCATTGTTAGTAAATTCAAACGTGAGCGTGAAACCTGGCGTTTACAAAGTTTTTGTTTGTACGCTGCGTTGATACATGAGGCCCCTGAACCGGCTAATCAAGCTTTTACTAGATATAATAGAAACTTCCTGGCAGGTGTGTTGAAGCAAGTTGGAGCTAAACTCAGCAGCTAAAAGTCTTGTGACCAAACAGTTATTTCAGTGATTTAAAATTTGTGATTTTTCACTAACAACGCATAAACTTATCATTCTCAAAAACACAATCTTGTACATAAATGTGGCTTATGAATGATTGCAGCTCAGGATGTGCTGTTTACAGTGGTATTCGACTTTAGTCACTTTTATGTTTAGAAGCATCTGAAAAAAGGACAGATGTCAGGGCATATCAGAGCTTGTCCAGTCCCTCAAAACATCCTTAGACCGCGGGTCTTTTAAAGTTTTAGGTTCTAATGTAAAAATTACACATTTAAAATCAGATTTGATGAGTGACCAATGTTTATGTACAGAAATCACACAAAGTGAACAACTGTGTAGGGTGGTACAGAAATATTTTTTATTGAAACACTAGTACCAAGAGTCCATGATACGCCTCATACTCATGAACCTCATGCCACCATAATTGCTGAAGTTCCTGTACTGTCCAGGACCGAAGTGCCACATCCTGCCTCTGTAGTGGGGCTGGTCATAAAAGAGCCAGTGGCCGTCCATCACATGACAGGACTGGCAGTGAGACATGCGGTAACGGTCCATGATGTTGTCACAGTCATCCATCATCTCGTACATCTGACCTCCGAAGTTCTCCCTCTCATAGATCCTCATTCTGTAGGATCCCCTGTACTGTAGTGGAACAGAAGTCTGTTACTTTCAAGTTTATTAAGCAGAAACCTTTACCCTCAAAATGCATTCATCTGTATCTTATGTAAGCCTAACATTGGACTCACCATT